GGATGGCTGAGCGTTCTGCAAGTTGCTGAAGCTTTAAGCCTCGATGTCAGTGGCTGTGAAATGGGCACGGGAGCACCACCCCCCGGGGCTGTCATGAGCGCTAAATGAGGGACGGAGTCTGACACGGGGAAGCTCCGAGTGGTAATGAGACCGTTATTGCATGGTTATCGTACCTGCATCCACCCGAACCCCGTGCGGCAGGCAGGATCAGTACCCCGTTTTACAGGTAAAGAAACAGACAACATGACTTGTCAGGGTCATGCAGCCGATGGGTGACTGAGCCCTGATCCAGCTCTCCAGGCGCTCGGCCAGGACTTGGGGCCCGGGCTCTGGGTCTGGGGGCAGCTCCTCAGGGTGGGCTGAGCGGGCAGCTGCAGCCCCCACTCCCTCCTTCCCCTCCACCAGCTGGTGGGCCAGCCGGCCGTGCACCTGAAGCGTGACTTCTTCCTGGCCAACTCGTCTCGGGCCCGATCAGAGCAGTTCATCAACCTGCGGGAGGTCAGCACCCGCTTCCGCCTGCCGCCCGGGGAGTACGTGGTGGTGCCCTCCACCTTCGAGCCCAACAAGGAGGGCGACTTTGTGCTGCGCTTCTTTTCGGAGAAGAGCGCCGGGACCGAGTGAGTCGTGGGCCCTGTCCTTACCTCCTGTCCCCACAGGCTCCCTGCTGCCCCTGACTGGCCCCTTTCTCCCCACCCTCCACAGGGAGCTGGACGACCAGGTCCAGGCCAATCTTCCTGACGAGGTACGTGTCCTGCCCCCCACCCCCACCCCGCCTTGCTCCTCTCCTCCGCCCGGGGGTGTGATGGGCCCTGGGCGTCCCGTGTGCCCGGGCGCCGGCCCCTTGGTCTTCGTGGGTGGGGAACCTTCCGCCACCTTCCTGAGCCCTGCTCACCCCCACTTTCCTCCCAAACGCCTCGCGCCGTCTTGCTGGGCCACATTCTCTGTGCCTGAGCGCGGTGCCCTGTGATTAGAAGCTTAGCCGCTGCCAGCACCTTAGTGCCAACATACAGGACCCCTTCCTCCCGGAAGATGCACCCGGGCCAGGCCGAGTGGCTTGGGAGCAGAGCTGGCTCACTCCCCCATGTGCACAACTGAAGGCAGCTCCACCAACCTTCCCTTTGCCCCCCTTCTGACCTCTGACCTCCGACCTCCGGCCCTGCTGCTCCCTAGGCTCAGAACCCTTCTCTTCTCTCCCTGGAGCCTGAGGCAGACCCCTACCTGCAGGATTTTACACGCCAGGCGACAGGGATGGTGCCTCCCTGATCCTGTCCCACCTGGTGGCACTGCCCCGGGCCGGGCCCAGGGAGCTCGCTGGGCCGGGCGCTGGAACTGCTTTTTCTTGCAGACAAAGACCTGCGGACCAAGGGCTTCAGCCTGGAGTCCTGCCGCAGCATGGTCAACCTCATGGACGTATCCTGCCGCGGGGCGTGCGGGTGGGGTGCAGGCGTGGGAAGGGGGCTGGGGGACTCGTCCCCGGAGTGGGGCAGAGAAGGGACAGAGCTCTGTGCAGTGCGGGTGGACCGGTGCCTTCTGGGCGTCATCCCATCGATTGGGAAGCGGAAACTGAGTCACGGGCCTGGTGTCAAGTGAGAGGTGGAGCAGGGCCCGCGTCCCCGAGTGGCCCTCAGGCTGGTGCTCTTTCTGCACCTCCCGGCCCACCCAGGCTCAGAGGGCAGGGCCGGGCTGGCCACGGCTGGCTGTCCTCGGGTCCTGCTGTTCCTGGCGCTCTCTGCGGCCAGTCTCCCCTTCTCCCAGCGGTGGGGTTTCAGCTGTGGGGTTTTTCCCTTAACGGCCGCCCAGCGGGACGGCAACGGGAAGCTGGGCCTAGTGGAGTTCAACATCCTGTGGAACCGCATCCGGAATTACCTGGTAGGTGGCCCCTGCTGGCTGCACCGCCGTCCCCCTCCTCTGCGGCCTGAGTCGCAGCAGGGCCAGGCCGGGCTGCAGGCTGACGGCCCAGGTCCCACCTCAGGCCTGGTTCTCCGGAGCCCACGTGCCCCAGCAGCTGACCCACCTTTTTGGCCTCCCTCCTCCCCTCCACAATCCCCACCCTGGGGCGGACCGGAAGGGCTGGCTGTCTCGGCTGAGCCCTCACCCTCTGCTCCCCGCCCCAGTCCATCTTCCGGAAGTTTGACTTGGACAAGTCGGGCAGCATGAGCGCCTACGAGATGCGGATGGCCATCGAGTCTGCAGGTGAGGCTGGGGCACCTGTGGGGCCCCAGGCCGATGGCCCCAGGCTGCCTCCCTGACAATTGGCCCTTGTCCCTGTGTGTGGTGGCGATGGTGGTGGTGCGGGAACAGCCTCTTCTGCCCTTTCCCCACGGCTTCCGAGCTGGGTGGTAGCAGCATTTACTTCTGTCCTCGGTGCAGCTATGAGGGTAGAGGCTTTTATTGTTCCCACTGTGCTCAGAGGAAAGTGAGGCTCAGAGA